TGCCGGGAATATATGCCGTAGGACCTGTCAGCTGTTTTAGTTAAAAGTTGCCAACACAGCTGATTCAGCATAGGATGTCTGGCAGAATCTTCAAATAGCAGTTCATTTTGTCTATCTCTCCGTATTTTGTAGTGTCGTGTGTGCTCTCATCATCTCCTGAGCTCTTTTACATCAGTCCGTTGATTTGTTCTATATTTCTATCTTGGTGACAATGTCTTCATTTCGAAGAAAAGTTGTTGCCAGTAGCTCCTCCTGTTTAGCTGCATGTTCGTCTGTTACCCTTTGTCCCTCCCGTCTTATCTCTTTTTTCTCTCAAATGCTCTTGATCTTCTTGTGCATTTGCTATCCTTTTACAATTCATTTCGTACATTTGCTACTTTAATTCATCAGTTTTTTGGTGCTTCTGCTACGAACTTTACGATTTTTGATCGAATGTTGCATGAAGTACGAGAAACAACAGTCTACTCACTCCTACCTCAATCATTTTATCCTTTTTCCATATTTTCTTTGATTCTTCAGTTTTATTTGCCCGATTCTCAATTTTTCTGCAATGTGTTTGTTGAGTATCATTTATATTATCTGATATCAGACTTACATACTTTCTAGACACAAAAAACAAGAAATCTTTCTTCCAATTTCCGGCTGCACTTGAATTTTCAGAAAATTTGTCTTCTTTTCACTTCTCTACCAACTTTATCATTAAGCTTTTCATCAAGAGATCTTTGTAGTTTGCCAGCTCCGCCCTCAAATATCGTGGCCAATAACACAGACTCCTCCTAGTTGTTCTCCATGTGTTTCTTCTCTTTCTGTCTTCCTCATCCTAGACAAATATTTGTTAATAATTTTCTTCCCTTAATAGCATCACTTTTATGGTTTACAAACGTTTGAAGTTTATTTTATAAGAAAACAGTCTCTTTAAGCTCTCTTCCCTCTCAGTAATCAAGCAGCTGACAACTTTCTTGTGTTTTTCCATATTTTTGTTTGTTTCAACTCTTATTCATTCTTTGTTGTTGCTGTTCAACAAGTTGACGTGTCATTTTTTTTCTATATTTCAGGCCCTTACATGGGCAACAAACAGTCGGGAACAGGCCGAGTGGCACCGTTTGTGCAAAGGCCAAAGCGAGGTTTTTTCAGAAAGTTGTTTGCGAAAACAAGGCTTGATGTACATGGATTAGCTCAAACTTGTCCACCTCCGGTCAGTTTTAATTTTAAATTTGTAAAAATATTCTTTTTTTTTCTCTGTCTCATATCACAAACTGTTAATATGACTATCGATAGCCAGAGAAGAAGAGAGAAGATGGTTTACAAAACGCGTTTCGATCATTTAGTTTTTCGAAGGTCATATAATCTAGTTCCACACCCATATTGGGCACCTGAAATATATGAAAGGAGGATAAGAATTTGTGTGTTAGAGTATGTTGGTTTAAATATAGAAAGAATATGTTTTCTTGAGGTTTCGACAGTCGAGTTACCCGAAATAACTGCGGTACTTGTGATTTGTAGGAATGTAAGTGAGGGCGAGAGAAAGGTAAAAGGGGATAGAGCGAGATACAAGAGACTGAGTACAATATACTACAGTTTATTATTTCCTCAATTTAATACTTGAATTTTCGAATTTGTACTGCTCTTCCTCCGCGTTTATCTCTTTTCCTTGTCCGCGGACAGGACATTAGGCATAATAAGTAGTATGAGGAGAGTAAGTAATAAAGAGAGAGGAATCGCTCCGAACGATATTCAGAAGGTGAAGTGAAGGCTAAACGACTTGAACATCATTTTGTAGAATCGAATGTGTGCCCGACACTAGGTTAGCTCTTATGTCTTCTCATCTCTTTTGTTCCTTCTCAAGTATCTCTGACTTTATGTTGGCACAGCTTTTGAGTTACGGACATCAACCATCACTCCGGCCTTCAACATCTTCATTGATAATGATGCCGAAGATATCATATTTTCTATCATCGAGATGCTATCAACATTTCGTTTCCTCTTCAAATTCAAGATGGCATTTCGATGCAAAGCCATTGATATTACATGAAAAAACAGGATTGAAAACCACACAATGTGTTTTATTTTGAAAAAAAGTTTTAAATTTCTCTTCATAAAGGTTCTGGAATGAAAGAAAGAAAGAGAAACTAGTTGATCTTTCTTAACCACATTCCATTCATCCAAGGCGTTGGTTGAGACGATTGATTGCCAATCTTCACCACTAATCCGTCATCTCAACTTTTTTGTGCATGATTATCTCAAGAGTTCCGTTAATGATCTGTGACAAGAAGAATAAGAAAAAGAGGGAAAATCTCAAAAATAGTTGTGCATTACCGCCAAAATAAAGTGAGTTTTGCTCTCTCAAACCTCTCCCACCCACTCACTTTTTTCTTTCTTTCACCTCTGTACTAAATTCAATTGAAATCAAAGGCTTTTTCTTCGACGATTTTTCATTGGAGTATTTGTTCGTTTTTCTCTTTAAAACGATCTGACTGGGTGGTTAAGTTGAAGCTGAAGGAAAGACAGATTTTTGACGTAAACGTTCTTTTTTCTGATCATCTCTCAGTAGCTGTCAGGTCAGAATACTCGAAAATTATTACAAATTATGTGCTGAAAGGATGTAACACTAGACTTTTGAGAAGTAAAATATATTAAAACAAAGATATTTGACCGGACAGAAAGAATAACCGAGTAAAACCTTATGACTTCTTATCAACTTACAGCATGGCGGAGAAATGCCTGTACCGACAGATTCTCAAGCTTTCCCAGATCGTTCCGGATTGCGACTGGATCCACGGCTTGTAAGCAAGTATGAGATATCGGCAGTAGTAGGAAAAGGCAGTTTTTCACAAGTTTCATCTCTTTCTTTATATATTTCTAGTGATAATTTTTCAGGTTTTGCGGGTTCGTCACAGAGTTACAAGGAAGTTTTTCGCTGTGAAGCTAGTTGCATCAGACTGTGGAAGTATCAATAATGAGTTAACTATTCTCAGCCGAGTATCGCATCCTTTTGTCATTCGTTTGGAAGAGGTTTTATCACTCTTCTATATAGATTTAACCGAATTAATTACTTAAGGTTTTCAAATGCTCTACACGAATGTGTATTGTTATGGAGCTGGCTTGCGGAGGAGAAATGTATGATCGTGTTGTAGCCAAAGGAAGGTATGGTGAAACATTTTCTGCTCGGCACGCTATTCCTCTTTCAGATATACTGAGCAAGAAGCCCGTGCTGCTTTAAAAATGCTTTTAAGTGGATTGTCATATCTTCATTCCATAAAAGTCACACATCGTGATCTCAAACCTGAAAATCTTCTCTACAGTGATACTAGGCCTGAGGCTAGGTTTGATTATTATTAGGTTATCTATTCTAATGTCTATGCTTCAGGTTACTAATTACTGATTTCGGTTTGGCTCACCAAGGACGGCGACCAGGAGAGACCATGCTCGAAACATGCGGAACTCCTGAATATATAGCACCAGAACTTCTGCTACGAGTCCCATATACTGAAAAGGTGCAAAAAAAAAGAAGAATCTTTTTTACTCTATCTTCTAGGTGGATATGTGGGCGGTGGGTGTAATAGCTTATATTTTGATGTCAGGAATCATGCCCTTTGATGATGACTGTCGATCAAGACTATATACACACATCATAACAGCAAACTATGTTTATTATCCACAGGTGAGGATCATTTTATTATTTTCACAACCGCTCTCGAACGCTTCATTTAATCTAAATGAAACGTGCGGGCGTTACACTTTCGTCATTATTCACGCCAGTCTCCTTGGTGTACTCAAAGTGATTTTCTGATCGAGCAAAAACAATACTTCATGCAAGATATTTTTAAAAATGAAAATCTTCAGTTCTGGTCGGGATCTGAATTAGCCAAACAATTTGTTGATGAATTATTGGAAACTAATGCTATGGAACGACTGTCAGCCAATGAAGCTCTCCGACACGATTGGATCACAGGAGAACGAGCACACGTTCCATTATCCATAAAATCAAGACCAGCTTCTGAATACAACACTATGCAAAGAGTATGTTGCATTTTATGTAATTAAATTGTAGTTGCTGAATTTCAGACGAAATCTACACGTTCAATTCGATCAGTTACTCGGTCGGATCACGGTCACCGCGTTGATCCAAGAGAAGTTGATCAAATGGCTAATGATCTCAAGAGAGCTGCTCAAAGCACAAAGAACTATGGTTTATTCTAACACGCCAAAAATGGAAAATGCTAAAGCCTATTAATTGGAGGGGAGAAAATATGATCAGCCGCAACAGTTCCCCCCGTTTTGAAGAACAATTGTTTCATAAAACTAGTCCTTTTTCTCTTTTAATCATTCATACTTGCACCATTCTGTCTTTTTTTCATATCATTTCAATACTTTTCATGGTACTCGTTCAACTAAAACCACAAATATCTTCAATATCATAACATAACTGTGGTGAAAAGGAAAGAGCTACTCTTATCAACGAGTTAAATCATCTGGGTATAATATATATAGAATTCTAACACCTTTTTCTAATAAGCATTAAGTTTCTATAAAGTTTTATTGTACATATTTTGAAATGCTGAAAACCACGATCTCTGTGTTGTTAAGGCAATTTCAAAAAAATTATTTTGGCTTCTGGCTACACTCTCGTTGTGATGTAATACAACAATAAATGTTTAATTTTCTGCGAACTCTTACTCAGACAGTTATTATTGACAGACTCTTCAATAAAGACACAACAGAACGAAAAACAGAAACAAATATAATTGTCTAATTTAATTTATTTTCATTTTTCATTATCATCTATTCTGTATGATGGGGTTCAATAAGAGATTTTTATGCTGAAATACAAAAAAAAAGAATGTGCGCTCCATTGCGAATTTGAAAAAATTTCGAATTTCTCAATTTTTCAGCAACTTTTCAAAGTTCTGTGCATCATGTTAATTTCTTAAAATGAACATGTTTTGTTGAATCTAAATTAGATACTTAATGCTTTTTTCAGAAATACCTCGCGCACCGTCATGAAGGTGCGGGAAGTAGTAGCATTATTGCTACTATTAGGATTTTCACAAGCATACAGATTGAATGTGCCTCGAGTTCTCTTACCATACCATCCTACTATTCCTGTAGAGTTCCATTTAGAAGTTAGTCAGCCCACAGGAGGATGTTTTTACTGGTAAATGTCGTGTTATATTTAAGTTTTTCATTTAATTAATCATAGGAGATCTACTAGACCAGATATTGTTTCTGTAACCCCTGTTGGTGTCCGTCCCGGAGAATGCTCAGATAAGGCAACTATTAGATCGACGGCTAAAAGCTTTGTTGGCGAACTTTCCGCTGTAATTTTTGCTGATGACAAAGGTTAGTCAAATTGTTTCTAGGTTAAAGGAAGTTTCAAACATTTATAGTTTCTGGAACCACTTTGAGTTGTGGAGTAAGTGTAGATCACGTTCATGAAATCAGAATAGAAACAACTACAAAAGTTTTATTCGTTGATGCTGCTCCTGTACGAATGATAATTGATGCTTTCAATAAAGAAGGTTAGTCTCTGGTACTTCTAATTATCATAATAGGATTTAGGTGACCATTTCTCGACACTTAGCTCTATGCCAATTGAATGGGAGTTAGTACATAATGGAGGCGATCGCCCTCTTAGAATTGTACCTTTCGAACAATCTTCTTATGAAGCTCCGTATGAGATCGTCGCTCTCGAAAAGCAGAAGAAAAAAGGTTTCTTATATCAGCATTGGACGAGATTTTATAACCAAATTACAGGATATATGATTTTACTTGAAGGAGTTATAACCGGGTCTGCAATCTTGAGCGCAAAGTTCAATGACTTATACCTCGATGTATGCTTTCTTTGTCAATCTTTGTAATATTCAATTGTTTAGGGAATTGCTGCTCATAATCTTGATTTGACTGTTGTCGCGAATCTTCTATTGATTCCTTCATACGACCTGTACATTCCCGTTCATTCAATTGTTCCGTTCCAAGTTCTCATAGTGAAACAACACAGCACAGAAGGTTCCGAACATGTTTAGTATACTCTGCTGAATACTTTGTTTCAGTTGTTCCTATGCCTTCATCATCTTATTATTTACAAGTTGATGATTCAAAGATTTGCGACTTGAATGTGGATTCTTCTTCAATTCATGCATTAGTGAAAGGAAAAACTGATATTCATCTTTTGAGCCATAGTTTGACATATTTTCACATTGCTCAGTGAATGAACTCTTACAGATATTGATGTCAAAGCCAAAACTGGTGTACGTCCTCCGTTCACATCTATCAATGTGGTTGATCCCGAGTCTTTACAATGGACAGTTTCCGGAGACAATTGGATTCTCCAGTCCGGAACTCAATATCAGCTCCATGTTTCTTTGATTGATCCTCATGGAAATTCTATGTATATTGGAGATGTATGTTCGAAGTCTTGAATTCTTTCATAATTTTGTCTTTCAGAATCTAAGATTCGACTCTAAAATAAGCAATGAGTATTTCGATATTGTTTCTTCATCAGTCAATCAAAGTTACTTCTTAGTAACTCCGAAGAAAGTTGGAAAAACAACTTTGAAAAGCAAGTTCATATCTGTTATTACCCGAGTGAGTCACTCTTTTTTTCACCGAATCAATGCTTGTGCTTGTTTCAGCAAGGCAAGGAAGAGCTTGTCTCTGGAAAAATCCGTGGCGAACAGAACGTTCATATTGTGGATCCTGTCAAAATTGTCCCACCTTCAATAATTCTACCTTACCTTCCTCGTCTGAAATCGCAATATACTTTGACCGCTACTGGTGGTAGTGGATTGTATGACTGGAGCAGTTCCGACTCATCCATCTGCACTGTCGATGCAGGCCTAGGAATGGTTACAAGTGGAGCTATTGGAAAAACCACCGTTTCAGCTGTTGATAGAAGAAACAATGCTCATTATGACACTGCAGAGGTAAGGATATGCAATTGAATGACGAATGTGCAATGCTTTGAAGGTTGCCGTGCTTGACGTACTATCTCTTTCATTTGGAAAGACACGCAAAGAAGCGGAAGTAGGATCAGTACTTGTGTTGAATCTCCAACTTTTCGGTGCTGGCCCGAACGGAGCTGTTCCTTTCGATGATTGTCGTAATATTCAATGGACAATCCAATCCGGCGACAAGAAAGTTTTCGAACCACTTCAAAGTAAGTTTTTCGTCATGTTTTTACAATGAGAATGCTTTCACAGGCAAGAGCGGTTTACCAGATGTTGGAACCGGCTGTGCTACTGTTAGCTTGAGAGCTGTTTCTTCCGGAGATACCAAAGTTACCGTTTCTTTTGAGAGCTATCATGCATCTATTGATGTTTCCGCTTTCCCCAAACTAGAGGTAGTTATATTTCTGACACTGTTAAACGTATTCATTACTTAAGCTTGCTGTTAACAAATTAGCTCTTGCTGTTGGTAGTGATCTAGATGTTAAATTCTCTGGTGGTCCTCGTCCGTGGATTCTCGAGCCTGCAACTCATATGAAGCAAAGTAAGAGTCTTGATCATATTTATCTCATCACCTATCTATTTCAGTACTTCCAAGTGGAGGAATAACTGCTGATATTATTGAGAATATTATCCGTTTGGAGTGTGGAAAAGAAGAATCTTCAGTGGTGAGATGGCGTTTTATTCCTCTAAATAATTAAATTTTAGTCTTTGAAACTCTCCGTGGGTAACAGTCCATCAGACACTCTGCCAATACCTGTGGTGTCCGAAATTTTTGTTCCTATTTGCTGTGCCAAACCAAACCGAATTATTGCTAGACCCGTCGTTGATACTTCCTTGAACAAGTGTCATTCTAAATCCGTATGTTTTATTCCTCTGTTTCCTGCATGATCATATACATCACAGAGAGTTCTTCTCACGAGATCTAACATACGTCTCTCTCTTAATGGTTACGGTACTTGTGATGGTAGTGATGTGTCCTTTGACTCTATTTCCGGACTCGAGGTAAATTACGAATGAATATTATCTCACTGATAATGTAATTTAAAGGTTAAATGGAGTGCAGGAGATTCCAGTATTGCTCGTATCGATACTTCTAAAGAAGGAAATTATTGTAAACGAAAATTTTTGTTTTCTTCTATTTTCATTTCATTGCAGTATCTCCTGTTGTTTTTGCCAATACTAAAACCGGAGAAGTTCCTATCAATGCCGAAGTTGCTTCTGCGAAACGTTATGGAAAACTCCAAACTATTCTTAAAACTAGTACAACTCTCAAGATCGTTGAACGCGCTCACGCCGATCCACCATCTTTGGTAAAACTACCATTTTATTTTCATTTTTACTGAATCTATGTTAAGGTGCTCTGGAATGAAGGCTCCGCTAAAACTACTGTTGTCATTTCCGGAGGTTCTGGATACTTTACTATAGCTCCTTCTACTGGAACTCCTTATCAAGCTAGTATTGCCGAGAACAAACTCATCGTATGATTAAATAGTTCTTCTCTGATAGTGGTTTTAACATATTTTAGATCGCTCCACAAACCCAAGGTTCTGGTGTCATCCGAGTTATTGACTCATGTTTGTCTGAATCTGACTTGGATGTTCCAGTTAAAATCAGTGATATTCATTCTTTGGCGATCACTGGACCTAAATTCGTTCGTTTTTCTTGAGGGCTATTCTTATAATATAATTTCTCCAGGTCGAAATCGGTTCTGAAATCAAAGTTACTGTCGAGCCAGCAGATGAAACTGGGGCCACGTTCTCACGCTTCCAAGGAACTTTATCAGATTCTAAGCTTGAATTCAGTAACTCCATATTGGAAGTTTCTAGGTATTTTGTGCAATTAATACTCTTAAGTGACCGTATTGTTTAGAACCAGGGGACATGAGTACACTCTACGAGCCATTGCTGTAGGAGCCGTTTCTGTATCTGCTTCTGCTAAGTCATCTAGTGGCAGAATGCTTCATTCTCTTCCTCATTCCCTCCAAGTGTTCTCTCCAATTTCTCTGCACCCGAAAGTTGTCACTCTCATTCCCGAAAGCACGTTCCAGGTTTGTTATTCAGTTCAATGACTTTTTCATTCACAATTTTCATTTTCCAGCTTGAAGTGCGTGGCGGACCAATTCCTACTCCACCCATATCCTTTGCTCTTAACAACTCGAAAATCGCACAAGTTGAAACTAATGCTCTGATTACATCTCAAAACCTCGGCTACACCTCTGTGACTGGAACTTTATCTGTTGGAGATGGTCATATCACAAAGGTTTGTTGTGGGAGTAATTTTGTTCTCAAATTAACATTCAGGATACTGTTACCGTTCATGTCGTGTCTTTGAAAGGAATACAATTAGTTGCCAGCACCCAGAGAGCTGAGACTGGAAGCGTAGTTTGGGTTAGAGTTCAAGGACTAGACGATGAAGAAACACCTTTCTCTTTTGGAGGAGCCCATTATCCTTTCACAGTAAAAATAGTTTTTGTTCGTACATACATAGTAGTATTCAGATCACCTGGAGCGTAAGTCACCCTGATGTACTCCGTTCTGCTCATCCATTAGGTCCTGTTGTTGAAGAATCAAACGAAAATAAATTTGCTGTTTGGTTTGAAGGAGTTTCAGCTGGATCAGTAGTTATTGAGGTATCTCCCGTTCAGTCTTATGAGCACAGTTTTATTTTTCAGGCTTCCGTTAGATTATCGCGAAATGCTAAAAATCATTTTGTTGGATCGAATAAAAACTTCAATGCTAAGATAGAAATCAAAGTAGAAGACCCACTATCTCTCAGAAACCCAGCTATACCTCACGGTGTGGTTCGAATTGCACCAAACACTCAAATACAGTTGGAAACAGCATGGTAATGATGTTCGTCAACTCAAAATTTGAGACTATAATTCCAGGCCTCTTCCTTCTGTCGAGTTTTCCGTTCCTACACAATTCCGAAATACTATATCTATAACTCCTAGTGGATATCTGAGATCACATGGTAATGAAGGATATGCTGCTGTCGCAATTAGACGAAAAGGATCCAACGATAATGAAACAAGTCTAGTTCCCGTTGCTGTGAGATAATTCTGAGCTTTGTTTCCAATCGAGTTTTGTTCAGGTCAATCGTATACACTCTCTGGATGTTACTTCTACAACTCCTTTGGCTACATCAGATGGAGGAAACATAATTTACTTACCTGTAGGAACAGTTTTGAAGCTAAACATTCACTTCCGGGATAGCAAAGGTCGAATTCTTCATGGGCTTGGCTCTAATTTAGTGTACCGTCCTCACAGGTTTGTAATGTTACTGAAAGGAAAGACAAATTTATTCTTTTTAGATTTGATTTAACTGAAGTATCAGCTTCATCAGACGGCAAAATGCTTACAATCAACATGAAATCCGCAGGAGAGACTGTTCTTAGAGTGAGTTTTATTATATTTTCGGTTTTAGTGTGTTTTCTTCAGATTTCTGATTCTTCTTCATCTTCCTTGTTCACATTTGTTCGGTTGGCAGCAAGAGAAAATCTTTTTCCATCAACAGCTGTATTTCATGTATCTGATGTTATTTGTTTACGCTCTCCGTTGGAAGGTTTTGATTTTGTCCATTCGATTGAGCATTAGATTTGTGATATAGGAAAAGTAACGTGGTCTTCACCTGACAGACACGTTCAATGGATCGACTCGGAAAAAGGTGTAGCAAAACTTCTCCAGGCAGGAACAACTCACATAACTGCTAACTCGGCAGATCAATCCCTACATGCTAAGGTATATCTATTTTGTTACTGTTTCCCAGCTTTTTTTATTTAGTTGACCATTGAACCAGCTATTGATCATACCTTCTCTAAAAATCGTCCTGATATGGTTTCGAACTATAATGGTGCTTCGTTCGTTTTCCCACTGATAACTAAGAGTAACGCAAGTACTGAATTTGGTCTGACCACATGATGAGTTTATTGTAATTATGTCGCTTCAGATTGCACACCGGATCAACTCGAGGTACTTTCATCCGTGTCCGCTCCTTTCGAGTGTAGTGTACTCTTTACCTCTTCGAAGTTACCTCCTGCATTGAATCTGCTATCAGTTAAAGCCACCTACGTACCAAAAATTGGTTATGCATGTGTTGTCGAGCCTCAAGTAGGAGGTGTATCACATGTGAATGTAATCGGCTCAGAGAAAGGAGATTTAACAGTTGTTGCTAAATTCAATAGAGGAGATCAGGTAAGCTTTTTTTATGTACTGTACAATACCCAAATATAGTTCTATGATGTGGCCACTCATACTGTGTTCCATTTAGCCATGCAAGTTATTAACTCAGAGGTAAGATGAGATTTAAGTTTATTTTCCTGATGCACGTACAGATTCAACTCTCTGATGTGGACAGCAAAGCTACAGTAGTATCAATTCTTGTGCCAGCATATCAAGCAAGCTATGTAGCTCTTTCTGGTTGTTCTGGAGATCTTATAACCATCAGAGAAATCGGAAAGCCAGTCAACGATAATTCTGTTGGAAACAAATTCTTCAGTGTCAAGGTAAGTCAGGTAGAAGGTTTCTCTCATGAAATAAATTCAGTTAAATATTAAATCGGCTACTGTTTGGAACAACTTGCTCGATAAATGTGCTCTTACTGTAACAAATAAGTTAACTGGACAGGAGAGCCAAATTCCTGTCCGAGTTAAATTAGTTGGAAAAGCTTCCAAGCATGTTTACGAAGGTTTTGTTTTTTGTAAATTATTCATAACCGCTTTAATTTTATAGCTCTTGAAAGCAATGGTTTCATTGACTTTGTCCTCATTTTCGTTCAACATTACTCATCTTGGATTCCAACTCTAATGGGAGTTTGTATCATACTGATTCTAAGTATCGGAGGTGAGGCAGTGTTCTGGTACAGAATTAAACTTTTTTTGCAGCCTACTGGTATCTTTCACATTTCTTGTGGGAGAAGCAAGGAGTTTTCCTGGACGAGACGAATAGGACATCATCTCCTTCTTCTCCTGTTTCCCACAGAGCGTCTTTCCAGGATTCAATGAGTAAAACAGTCAATACACAGATTTATAATACATTTTTCGTTTTAGGCTTCTATCGTGAGTCCCCACGATACAAATCAACCCCTGTAGTCAGTAGCCCACGCATGGGGTCTTTAGGCGACTCTAATCTTTGGAGCACAACAAGCCCAACCAAACGTTATTAAATGACAAATCTAGATGTTTTCTCCTTGCTTTAGGTATTTTGTTGTTCGATTTCCGTAATTCCGGTGTTATTTTGTTGGATCAAATCTCTTCACCCCCACCTACTTCTTACGTGTATGAAACATATGCTGCGGCAAAACTCTAGAGTAACCGCGAGTTTATACAATTGTTTACTTTATATATTGTTGATTAATGTTATTTCCCATGTACTCCAGAACCCAATAAATAGTTGATCTTAGAAGCGTGCTGGTTTTTTTAATGGTCCTGCCACGCCCTAGATGGCGTCTAGCGCGGCATAGCAACCATTTGAATTTTGCTGCTATGCTAATGGATCAAAGCTTCTTCTTTGTGTTACACAAGACTATTGGAATAATTGTTTATTGTTGTTTTCAGAATGAGAGAAGAGCTTGACGAAGGATTAGGCGAGGATGAATATTTCATGGGTTCAGAAGAGTTCGACAAAGTAACTATTTGTTCTCGCTTAGATGTTAGTATGCACATTCCTATGAAAGAAAAGACAGTACTTTTTAGTTAACGAGTCACTCCAAAGTTCTTTCACAATGTGCTCTTCCGCAGCCACTCGATGTTCCTTTCGGATTTGCTGCCAATTTGGAGTGGTAATGTTGCTCTGTTTTTTCAAGCTCTCATCTAATCAATTCAGCAATATAAGTCCCATAAAGGCTACCTCCGATGACAGTATCCGTGGGGAATGTAGAGAGAGAGGCAAGAATTTGTTTAAAAAGAAGAAAAATTCCACTCATTCTCAACCATCAATAAACTCACCACTGGTTATTATCTTCTACTTATTTCTATATATAGTGAATATGTTATTTTAGAATAGATCAGGAAATTTGAATGACAGGCTAGCAAGCGAAGTGAAACGTTATGAAAAAATGGTTGAGAAGCTTTCAAATAAAAAAGTTCTTTGCCCCACATTCGAAGAATCTAATTTTGTACTCGAAAAAAGTGGATTGAGGTCTGTTAGCTTCTATGAACTTCCCAATTTCGATTATCTGTAGTCGGTATAGTTCCTCCCCGTCTGTGGTGGAGATGTCAAGACATAAGGTCACAAGCTCATTGTCACACACTGGACGAGAAAGAGAACCAGATAGACGCTTAACTGATGAAGTCTTTGAGTTGACCCTGGATGCACTTGAAAAAAGTAGGAGAGCTGCTGTTTATATTGATGAAGCTGTGCAGACAGGTATTTCTTACATGCATTCAGGTACCAACTAAAGTTTTTTAAGAAAAAAGAAAGAGTGAGAATATCACGAAGTTGGATAAGCAAACTTCCATGTCTATGTGTCATGCTAGATATTCTGAACCTTGCCTTTCAAAGCTCTTGAAACAAAAGTTAGCTGCTCCCTCAAAAAGTGAAGAAAACAAGCAATTTCGAGGTCCTTTAATTGACATAGACTCAGTTGCACATAAAGGGGGCGTTTCCAATGTGTAAGTTAGCTCTCATACATTTCAACGATCATTAGAAATATTTCAAGATATGAGAGTAATTTGAAAGGAGCTTCTATAGCTGCCATATTATCGGGTCCAAAAAAAAGGCCACCGCCAAGGCAACCCAGAACTTTTTCATCATCAACGTACACAGTTCGAAATAACACAAATGAGAAGCCTCCATTCTGTAGTGCTGTTCCTAATGTAAGTATTTCTGATGTTGAATATGTACATGTACTAGATTAAGAGCTTGAATGGTTTGACCCACGCTGTTCATGCTAACGAGCAGTTGATCCAAGCATTAGTGAATTCGCGTTTCACACATTGGAAAACATTAGGTTAGTCACGCGTCTTAAATACATCTTGTATATGAACACGCTTGCAGTGTATAATATTCTAAATGATAAAGATACGGGAGATGATGTCGCAGTTCGATTTCTCAGAGAACTAGAACTACGACAAGACATGAAAGGTTTGATCCATGATGAGAACGAACTCAACACATATGATCTAAAACGTGACGATGCAAAGGTCATCCGAATGGTAAGCAAATTGCTATATATGATTTTAAACTTTTTTATTCAGTTAAAAAAAGGATTATCCAAATCCAGTACTTCTCGTATTCAACAGCTTCGTATTTTGTATTCTGTTCTACTAGGGTCTTTGTAGTTCTCATAATTATTTATTTTTTATATTAACTATTGCGATAAAGTGCCTCAAAATCTATGCTTAACTTAATCAATTGCATCGAATGCTTTCTCCACTGACTGGAATAAACTTGTATTTAAGGCTTTACTTTTGATTTTCTTTAAATTTGTGCGACCGCTAATAGCGAATGAGGAACGAACAATGAGAATGGTCCACGTCGATGCTGTCACTCACGTGATAATTTCTCAAATTAGTTGACCAAACCCGGTTGGTTAAGAAATACCGCTGCTCAATTTCTGCCAAAACGGATCAAATCCTAGAGAATCGTGGTCTGAGTAAGCGAAAAAAAACAATGTTCTCTTCGCATTCCACATTTCTAGCTTACATACTATGATTAGACGAGATGATCATCAAATACTTATGAGTGAAAGCAAAAAAAACTCCAATAACCTCACTATACTGGATAAATGTTCTTCTAACGTCGATACGGCATTAAGCATGAGAAGCTCTTGGGATGTAAGTAACTTCTTTTGTCCTGGTTTTACTATTCACTTTGAAGGAAGAAGAACCACAGAAAAAAAATGATGAATATGTGTTTGTTCGAACTAAAGATGGCAGTGAGGTAGAATTTAACCCATTGCTCTATTCAACCTGGTTCATTCAGGTAGTTTTCAGTCGTCGGGCTTTAGCTGATGAAAGTTACTACTTTCGTGCATTGTTCTCTAATGATTTCCTAGAATCACATGATACTTTCATAAAGTAGGTTACAAAATACAGTTCTGTCATAATAGAATTTTAAGCTTACCTGGAATAGATGGCAATCTTTTTTTCAAAGCCCTGAATCTCATTCCAGTCATTCAAGAAAACGTCCAGCCAGATATTAGCTTAAGCTGTGCTATGCAGGTATACAACAAGTATTTTCTTGTAGAGTTCTTTATTGAGTTAAGCTTCTTCCTGTTGCTTCTTACCTATGCATGGATAATCTTCTTGTAACATTGTCAAAAATCGTACAAGAAAAAGTAACTCCGCGATCAATTGTGGAGCATTTTCGGAAAGCAAGTTTCCATTACTATCCTTTGGCTACATCTCTGTGGAAGAAGATAATTCACGAGTTTCAAGTGGTCAGTAGTGCTTATACAACTTCAATTTACAAATTTGTTCAGATTTTTGAAACGAACAATTATTTGAAGCTAAATGAAGAAGAGTTTGTCGAAGCTTTCCAAGATGAACATCTCAATATATCCGCCAAGGATGAACTGAAAGCTATTCATCTTTATATTGCAGTTAGTTTCACATTTTTTATTTTCATTCTGATATTCCTTCTTAGAAACGCCCGAATATTGATGAAAGTAAAGTTGAAGAGCTTTTGAATCATAAAAACCAAATGAAAGTTGGAGATGGATCGTCACACTTCCCTGTTTTAAAAGATAGAGTACCCAGCAATGTTGTTATGGCTTTTGGTGAATTATGGAAAGAACACTCTGTTTTTTATGATTTCTTTTCCAGGTGGTTGGAGCAGTTACGGAGCTACAGAAGTGGTCGAAATATTCAATACTCGAAGGGAGAAATGGGACCCTGTAGAGCATCCTGAATTCAAACAGTTGGTCCAGGTTCATACTCAATTTTTTACAAAGCTTCATAGAGACAAACCTCGTGCATACCATTGTATCACAGCGTTTGATGACTCCTTGTTCGCATGCGGTGGAATGAATGGCAGAGAGTTTTTCGAGCATTCGGGAAAGTATAATTTGGTCACTAAAGTAGGTTTAACTGTGATTTGAATTGGTTTAACATTTAATAGACGTGGAGCGCTGCAGCTAACATGCATGAACGACGCTGTTACTTAGGAGGCGCAAGTTTTCAAGATTCGAGTGGTGCTAACCATGTTTTTGTTGGTGGAGGGTGAACAGATAATCTGAATCAGGAGTATTTCAGCTGTTTTTTTTTCAGATTCAACGGGAGTTCCCGTCTTTCGTCTTGTGAAATTTATGACGTTCAGAAGGACATATGGAGGAAAACTTGTCCCATGAATAGGAAAAGGTAACAAGGAAAGATAATTAGCGCAATAAAGAAAGTTTTATGAAGATCTGATTTTGCCCTAGTGAAAGTTGGAGGTTACATGTACGCGATTGGTGGATTTGATGGAAATAATATCCATAACGACGTTGAGTTTTTCGATCAGGAGAAAGAGCAATGGTTTGTGTTTCTGGTAGAAAACCGAATACCCTTTTCAAGGTATTCTGCTGGGTTTCGCATGAAATCAGGAAGAACAGGCGTGAATGCTGTATCCGTAACTGATAACACTATAGTAATCTGTGGGGGATACAATGGCAAGTCAAGGCTTCGTTCAGCTGAACTATATGATAGAAGAGATTCAAAAAGTTACACACTAAGCTCAATGTTAACTACCAGGTTAGTTCCCACATTTCTTTCAAATTAATCTCATTATGAATGTGATCAGATCTAACTATGGTATGGTATGTTTCGAAGACAAAATATATGTTGCGGGCGGCTTCGATGGCATCCGTACTACTGCACATGTAGAAAAGTATAGTATAAGAGCCGGGAAATGGATGGTACTTTTCCATAAATAATATTAATCATCGCATTTAACACTTTCAGGTGTTACCTGATTTGAAAACGCCGAAGTCCGCTCTGAAACTTCTTCATATGGATAATGTAGAACATAACCGCTTTTTAGTGAATTTTGATTGTCCGGGAAACTAATTGAAACTAAATATACTAGTTCAGTAAAAGAAAATCTCAAACCTCTGTTAGTTTCTTATACTCACAAAGTCCTTTTCACTTTAAACCTCGTTGTTCTGGAACTTCATGACCTTTTTTGTGTTCATGCTTAGTTTTTCGAGTTTAAAAAGAGGAAACCAATCCCTTTACTATCTCTCACTATGTAACGTCCCAGATTTCTTTCACTAGCTTTGTAGTTTGATATTTCATTTTTGAAGTTGTATCAAACTATATATATACATCAACATGCCACGTACACATTCACTGTAACGTTTGTTCTAGATAGGTTTAAGTGGTCATTACATTTACCTTCTCTAATTTTTTCTATTTTCCCAAACTTGTTAGATTGCATAATGACTTTGATTAATTGAATTACTGTTTATTTGAAAGCTTTCCCCCCGATTGGCAGTATGTTGCCTTTTACTCTCAACAATGTTAAAAATTGAGAAACTGATGATGCTAGAATGTTAGATTCTAGATTTTAGAATATTATAAGGTACGTTGAGTATGTTTCCATATTTTTTATTCCTTCTCAGTATATTAATGGATCAATAGAAGTACAGTTGACTGAATTGTCATGTTCGTTAGAGAAATCCAATAGATGAAGCCAAAGTTCTCCTATTGCGTAGTTTGAACATAGAACGATCCGTCTTCTTGTTAATCATTTCTTATAGTTTGTCTTTTTGGTTTGAAAGTTGTATTGCCCCTTCACGCGCTCATTCTACGGATATGCGCCAAACGTTTTTGAATATTCACTGCCAACTGCTCCCCTGATCCGCATGGTGGTCACAGGTCGCCTCTCTAATCTTTTGATAATAATATTTTCCTAATTATTCTGCTGATCTTTTTTGAAGCATTTCTATTGGAGTGAGATGTGAGATCGTTGAAGTTTGAAGTTGATCAGTCTGCAAGTTCTGGTACTGTTCGGTGTTAGTGAACCAACCAACTAGGAATCTTGCGAGTCTCATATCCTCTTTAACTGAACCTTTGAAAGAAATTTCTTTGTCAATGCAGTATTACGTTCATCGTTTTTTCCTTTGAATTGTTCGTCTATATTCTACTTTGTCATTTACATCACAAGCAACATGTTTGCAGTAATTACATTGTCATCTCAATCAGTTCTACGATTGGCATTTGGTATCCTGCGAAGTGGTTGGACAAACCACTACTGTTTATCAAGATGTTGAAGGTTTCGTAAGAACATTGATGGAATTAAATGATTTATTTCAGAAGATACAATGGATGCACAGG